GTATTAGGGAGAAGGTAGGTGATGGTTGCAATCAGAATCTGAAGAGACACACAATCAAATCTTGTTTAAACAGGTTAAATCCAATAGAGAAAAAAAAGGATTCGTATCAGGTCTCCAAACACTCACAAACAAACAGTCACACAGTTTGTGTCGTTATGAGCACTCTCATTTATGGAAGGACAAGGGATCCTCAGAGTCTGACTTTTCCCAGAAAGTTTCCAGTCAACACAGTGGAGAGACACAAACAGAAAAGATGGCGTTTAAAGCTTCCAGAGTAATTAACGCCTCACCTCTACTATCTTCTTCGGAGTGTCGGGGGGGAACTTTTGAAGATGATCCGCGTAACTGATCAGGAGATGAAGGATGTCCGACGCCACCAGTGCTACGTTCTTATTGGGGTACTGGGAGATGAAAAACACAACACTGGGGTTAATGGGTTAAATTTACATAAAATCCAACACACAACACGGCACAGAATATTACAATTACACCAGAAAAAAACAGCTGCTCTTTTATACCAGTAAAAATGGAGGGAACATGTTTTTGGTGAATTTTGGGTGAATGAAAAACAACAGTTTTTTGGTTGGGATGATTTTTCATTTAAGTACCAAAACTCGACACAAATCCAGGCAGACAGCAGGTGGTTCCTGAAAAGAGTCAATTTTCATGATGCTGTGCTAAAGTCACTTAGATGTGTTAACTTCATGGAACCTTCAGTGGAAGAAAATGGTCCCGAGTATATTTGGGCCATTAAGTTGTTCTGACTTCCTGATTTGGAACTCCATCCAATCATCTGGGGTTTAAAGTCTCAAACAACAAGGTAACTTTGACTATTTAAGTTTGACAAAGCTATTTTCACTAAAATAAATGTTTTTTACCAATGCACAAGTTTTAAGTTGTTATACAGTTATATTCAACCAAGCATCAAAGTTTATTTCAAAATGACAAAAAATGAAGAAATAAGAAGACAGACAGGATCAATTGTGTTACAGGGCTGGTATTTGATGGAATTTGGATGATATAGTTTCTAAAAACAACTTAGTTTAACATGTATTGGTCCAGGAACATCTTGAGCTTTGCTAAAAGCTGGAATTTCCCAGGTGTGACTGACAAAAACAAAAGATTTCTATGACAAATAAGATTGAAACAATAAGATTCTCTCTGTGGACACTGATTAAATGTCCACTTGCACTTTCCTCTGTGCTCTGTCTGCATTTAAAGAGTGAACCCAGTTTGTATTCATAGCTGGTTGTGGAGTATTTTTTGTTCTCTCTATCCAGCGTAATATTTACTGGACGCTTTGCGTCTGTCAGATTGAGACAAAACCCGGACGGGCCGATAAGAACAGGCCGGATTTACACATTAGTCCGGCTCCCGTGTGGATCTCTGCCTGGAAACCAAAAAATGCTTGCAGATGAAAGGGA